AGCAAGTAAACCTGACCAACTCGACTCAAATGAAACTTTATCCAACAGCACCTTCAAATAACAGGCGACAGCGATCTCTAATGCACTCAGGAAAAGGAAAAAAAATGCATACAGATCTCCAAGATAATCATACCCAGAAGATACGCATAGCACTCCATACCAGTTTCCCGGATAGTAATGAAAGAACATGCTGATATAAACGAAACGCGAGTCAAGAAAACAATAGCTACCTTCAATCCAAATCTGATGCACTGTGAAGACGCTCCCTGGAAAAAGGTCCCGACTTTGAAAGAAATTCTTCTAGGTTGCTCTTTTCCTTCCGTTGATTTTCGTCTCCGGCCTCCTTCTCCGAATCTCCTCAGTTGCAGTGCTCTCCTTAGCACTCAGCCTACGGCTCTTTCGGCCCGTAAGTTTTCCTTTCCTCTGTGTTGTTTTAGCCTAGCCGCCAACCTCAGCTTTCCTCCGACGCTAGTGTTCTTATTTGTTCCTGAAACCCTCACTCTTTCTTCCTAACTCTGCCCCTTTTCAGCCACAGGCCCCCCAGCTCGTTCCTCTTTTTTTTCCTCCCGGCTCTCCCCTCTCCGAAACTCTCTCTAGCCCTCCAACTTTTCCCTTCACTCTTTTCTGGTTTCTTTCTTGTCCAAAGCTTCCTCTATGTTTTTCCTACCGCCGTCAACCCAAGAACCCCCCTTCTCTGCTGTTTTCTTTTCTTTTATATTCAACACATACTCTCAAACCCTCACCTGAAAGGTGAGGATGAGAGTGGAGGTTTTTGCTGGGCATCCTAGGGCCATCCGATGGGTGGCACATCTGCCGCATGCAATTTTGCTGTGCGCAGTTTTTTTTTTTTAATTGATGATTCAATAAAAACAAAAATAATATTTTAAATAAAAATCAGATAAATAATAAAAAAACTCGGAATAAAAGATAAAAATAAAATTCCTAACAACAAATGATGTTTGATTAATGATTTTCTTTTCTTTTTCTTTTCTCTTTTTTTTTTCTTTTTTTCTCTCTTTTTTTTTAATTAAATAGTGAAAAGGAAAATAAAACATATTTTAAGGAAAATTTTTCTCTTTGCACAAATTTTATGCTAAAAACAATCTTGCAATAAAATAAATAGTTAAAAGGGTAAAAACGAATACAAAATAAAAATAAAAAATAAAAAATAAAAAATAATAGGCCATAATAATCTGAGACGTACCAAAAGTCTAAACCTAAAATCATGGAATCATATACGAATAACAAAGAAATGAAATTAGGACAAAAATAAACAAAATAAAATAAATGAAATACAGAATAGTTAAAATTTTGGTGTCTACAGTTTGCCCCTCTTTGTTTGAGTTTTGAAAAAACTTGAGACAAAGAATTAGACACCAAATACTTACCTGCCTTATTCGGCTGCGAATGATTCCAACGATTGCCGCTCTTGAAACGAGGACTGACCTCTTTGTCAAAATGTTGAAATGGGATTTACCCAAACAGGAATTTAAACGGGACTGACCCGAACAGGAATTTAAAACGGGACTGACCCGAACAGAAATTTAAACGAGACTGACCCGAACAGGAATTTAAACGGGACTGACCCGAACAAGAAATTTAAACGGGACTGACCCGAACAAGGAATTTAAAACGGGACTGACCCGAACAGAAAATTTAAATTCGTGAAATGCTCACTAGTGGGACTGACTCGAACAGGAATTTAAAATGGGACTGACCCGAACAGAAAATTTAAATTCGTGAAATGCTCACTAGTGGGACTGACCCACGGCTAGTGTCGATGCAAATGAAATGCTAGTATGTATGAAAAAACTGCATAAGACTTGCTCGAAAAATTCTCCAAAGATTTGCCACAGTGTGTTGAATTGGTCAGTGGGATTAAACCTGAGCCTGCCATGAAAATCGGGCGGTTAGTGGGATTGAACCCGAGCCTGCCTTTAATTGAGCGGTCAGTGGGATTTAACCTGAGCCTGCCTCGATGGTGAGTCGGTCAGTGGGATTGAACCCGAGCCTGCCTTGAATTGAGCGGTCAGTGGAATTTAACCCGAGCCTGTCTCGATGTTCGGTCAGTCAGTGGGATTGAACCCGAGCCTGCCTTGAATTGAGCGGTCAGCGGGATTTAACCCGAGCCTGCCTTTCATTTGGTCGGTCAGTGGGATTGAACCCGAGCCTGCCTTGAATTGAGCGGTCAGCGGGATTATACCCGGGCCTGCCTTTCATTTGGTCGGTCAGTGGGATTGAACCCGAGCCTGCCTTGAATTGAGCGGTCAGTAGGATTTAACCCGAGCCTGCCTTTCATTTGGTCGGTCAGTGGGATTGAACCCGAGCCTGCCTTGAATTGAGCGGTCAGTAGGATTTAACCCGAGCCTGCCTTTCATTTGGTCGGTCAGTGGGATTGAACCCGAGCCTGCCTTGAATTGAGCGGTCAGCGGGATTATACCCGAGCCTGCCTTGATTTGAGCGGTCAGCGGGATTATACCCGGGCCTGCCTTTCATTTGGTCGGTCAGTGGGATTGAACCCAAGCCTGCCTTGATTTGAGCGGTCAGCGGGATTATACCCGGTCCTGCCGAGATTGGCGGGATGAAACCCGGTCCCAATTTGATAAAAGTGGTGAACAAGTGATTGAATTTGATTTGTCAAGAAATAAGAAATTAAACTTGATTTTTTATTTTTGACCTATCTGATTTTTTTTCTTTTTTTTTTGACTTTTCTTTTCAACTTTTTGACTTTTGATTTTCAGGAGAATCTTTTCAAAAAAAAATGATTTGCCCCAATTTAAATAATTGTCACCGATCTTTCGATCTGCTTTATTGTTTTTCCTCAAAACTTTGCTTCAGTTCCTTTTCTCAGCTCAAACCATGAATATTCAATTCTTGGACGACATCTCACAGTTCAAAATTTGCCCCAGTTCCGTTATTTGAAACGAGCATGGACCTGCAAAAGAAATGAACAAATAATGCCACCACCATCCGATCAATTCCTCCTTCAAGAAATGTGTAAACATGAGTACTTTGATGTTTTTCTCTTGATGCTTTGAAAACTCAACTTTGCTCTGTGATCTGATCAAATTCCATTTACCTCCAATGCTAATAAGGCCCTTGGTGGTCAGGAATTTTTAATAAATCACGGGGATTGCCATCTGATGAACCCAAAGAGATAAACAAGACCATGAAACTCATGAAAGAACATTCTATTTACACAACAAATGATGAAAATTTCAGTAATATGAAAACAATCATTTATTTTTACTGAAAGAAAATGAATTTTAAAGAAATGAATCTATAAATTTGACAAATTACGCTTGAGAAACCAAAATATTCCGACTTCAAACAAAATGCCCCGCTTGACCCTTTAGACATCATCCGCCCGGAATTCAATGTTGGCAACAGAAAATCCACAATGCGAGGGGGAATCCCAAATGAACCGAATCACCAGCTTTCTAATTCCAATCTCACTTTTTCTCGTGAAACTCTACATTAGCGCCCTTTCAGGTTTTCACTAAAGCTACTCCCACTTTTTGTTGTTTTTTTCCATTTTTCATTCTTTTTGCCTTTCTCTTCTTTCTTTTCTTTTCTTCTTCTCTTTTTCCTTTTCTTTTCAAAAGTGCCCTTTTCGAAATTTCACCTGATGAACAAATCTTGCCAATAGCCTTTATCAACTTAAAAAATGTGTTTTAAGAAATAATGGCATCAGTACGACAACCCTTCCCTTACGAAATGAGTGAAGGCGTATTGACATCATTTGCCATGTGACTTAGAAAATTTCCTTGAAAGAGGTGATACCAAGAACGGAAGCCAGGTCTTTTTGGTTTTTATAATGGGGTCTGGTGAGGTGTTAAGAAAAAGGTTAAGGCTTGAAGGCAGATTTCTGAAAGTGTTTTAAATGACCTGAAATCGCATTGTTGCATCAACCCTATTTTATGGTTAAACCAAAACTTGTCCCAGTTTATTTTCAACTGAGATTCTTTGTTCTTTCATTTTCCTTCCTTTCTTCTGTCATTCCACTCATCTTTTGAAATATTCACAATTTGTCCCAGTTCATTTTTAACTGAGGTTTTCTTTTATTCATTTCCTTTTTTTTCGGCTTTCCTTCGAATATTGAATTTGCCCCAGTATGGGATTTTCTTTTCTTTTCAAAACTACAATTGCCCTAGTGTGGGGTTTGCAATTTTCAGGGGTTGGCAAAGGAAATAATTTATTCTGAAGGTTCAAAAGGAAGAACTAAGGATAAAATGTCTCAATGGGAAAGGAAGAAGGCCTGACTTTTATTCCATTCTTTGCATCAACCCTTGAAAGGAAACTTTCATTTATCAGATGAAGAATTTCTTACACATATCCGAATTGATCGGTTGAGGGAAAATTTGTCCACCCCACTTCTGCGAGAACTAATACTTTGCCATGCAACACCTTCTTGATAATAAAAGAACCTTGCCCATTCGCGATGAACTCTTCTTTTAGCTTTATTTCATACCAACAAAAGCTACCACAATGACAAAAGCTCATTCTCTTTTGATAGCACTTGTAATGACAAATGGCATTCAGATGCTTCTTATCAATTGACCACTGAAATTGTGCTCCCACTTCAGCTTAAGTTTCTCTTTATATCATTTGTGTTCCTTTGGAAACACTCTCTGATGTCTCTTCGCTATTCCCTCATTTTGAAGTCCAAATTCCCATTCATTAAACTTTGGAACAGTGATATCCAAAGGGTCAGAGCATTTTATTCTTGGTCATCTGAAAAGAATGGGTAAGTAATACAGTATATAAAAAACTGTATATTTTAAATTTCAAAAGAAGGACAAAATGTCATAATACGCTATTTAACAAAAGACACGCTATAAGATTTGTATTGAAAAGACATTTGAGTTAAAACTATTTACAAAAACGAAAATGCAACAGATGAACAATGCAAATGATTTCTCCCATAATTCATAAGCAAAGGCAATCCCCTAGATTTACCAAAATTCCCTTCGGGAGGAAATGTGATTTGCAATTCAATTTTAGATGGCTATGTCGAGAACAAAAGGCTTCTGGACTATTTTGATTATTTCATTCTCCCCCACAATGTGTTTGGCAGACTGTTCAAACTCCTCTTTAGTGACAATGGCCGCTATAGTATCCTCGTGCGCAGGAAAAGGGTTTTCGCTGACACTTGATCCTTGTTCATTTCTCATTCTCAAAATTATGTCTCCACCCTCGATCATGTCTTGAATTTCATGTTTAAGTACCCGACAATTGGCAGTAGAATGTCCCGGACCTCCAGAATGATAGGCACAAAAAGATTGAGAATCATAATCAGGGGGAACTCCTTTAGTATAGACTTTAGGAGTTATTGTACCAATTTTCCCTGCGGCCTTGAGCTGCGCATATAGTTGATCAAGGGGCTGACCTAGATTGGTAAAAATTCTATATCGGGCCGGGTCTTGGGTGCCAGCAGTTTGTTGATAGTTGTAGTTCTGGTTGATGGGTAAAGTGGGTCTTGGATGATAAGAAGGGCGAGCTCTAGTTTGAAGGTTAGGTGGAGAAATATGAAATGGTGTAGTGGGTGTGTTTGGGTACTTTGGTCGGGGTCGAGGGTGGTTAACGCTGGTATGATAAACAAATCGAAGGTGTGATTGGTACGGGTAATGGGGTGAGTAGGTGGGATTTTGTTGGTATCTAGGTCGGAAAGCAGGGTCTCGGTTCGAAACAAATGAAGCTTCCTCTTCTCTCTTTTTAAACAGGGATTTCTTGCTATTGCTGCCTTGACTTTGCATCGCGTCCAATTGTGATTTCAGAGCCGACACGTTAACAATCTTTCCTGCCCTCATAAACTCCTCATATTCTTCTAATTTATTTACAATTTCGGCAAAAGAACACCCAGTCATTTGAAAAATTTCCTCAAAGTAAGGCGGGTCATGAGCTTTGATGAACGTGCGAATAATCTCGTTTTCCGTCATAGGAGGCTCCACCTTGGCGGCCAATTTCCTCCATCTCTTCGCGTACATCTTGTGGTCCTCAGATGGTTTTCTTTCAGTCCCCTCAAGTGTGGCCCTTGTTGGAGCAAGCTCGCAATTGTATTCGTACTGCCTCATAAAAGCAGTTGACAAATCCATCCAAGATCTCATACCCTCAGGCTTCAAATTGGAATACCAATCCAACGCGTCGCCTTCTAGACTTTCGGGAAATAAGCGCACAGGTAGATTCTCATCATCTATCGACTTCCCTAACTTGTTTGCAAACATCCGGAGGTGAGTCTTGGGATTGCCAGTTCTATCGTACTTGCTAAATTTGGGTGCTTTGAAACCCGTCGGCAATTGCATATCCGAAAACAGGCACAGCTCGTTGTAGTCTAGACCTCCTTGCTTGCTCACACCTTGGCTTTTCCTTATAAACTCCTCAAACCGATCTAATCTCTTTAGTAAATTCTTGTCCACTGGTGCGGATGACTCCCCGGCTTCAACTTTCCCCTGAGCAGCGATATCTAGGGTGAATGGCTCAGCAGTGGAGTAATAATGAGGCCCATGTGGTTTGAATGGCATGCTCATAGTGATTGACGGATAATTTTGGGGAATTTGGACATGAGAAGGGTTAGTTTGGATGTGAGGTGCATAAGTAGGCTGTGGGTCATGAGTGGGATAAGTAAAGGCTTCTTCGGGTGGATTTATGACATTTGAAGTAACAGGAGCTGGAATATAAGGTAAGAGTATTGGTTGAGGTTCAGATTGGCCAGGGGGTAAGGGCTCATGTTGTTGCTCACCGCTAGCACCACTAGTGACTAATTGGTCGATCACGCGCCGTTGGACCATCATTTCAACGCTTAGCTCATTAAATCGGTTGAGAACTTCGTTCAGCTGAGCTCCCAGATTTGCCAAATCAGTTGATGATGTTATTACGGGCCTATCAGATGGTTCTGGATGGGTACTCATGTTTACACTTTCTCTTGAAATTCGGCTATGTGATTGAGTAATAATGGGGCTTCTTTGTGTAGCAATATTTGTGATTACTACCTGAGAGTGTAAGAAAACCCTTATTAGATGCCCTTCTTGATTGACTGTTGTCAAAAAGAAAGAAAAAAGGAAAAGAAAAAAGATAAGAGTTAGTAAAAATTAAAGTAATTCGGATGCATGTCCTATTGGGGAACCCTTTTAGTGCCAAGGGTAGGCCTAGCATGAGAATGCAATCCTCTGAGGTAGGCACTATACCATACCTGATGAATCCGATCAACTCATTGACAGTTGGTTGGAAAGTAATTTGAAAATTTTTTGGGCCAATTGAACAGCAGGAAACATCTAAATGAAGGAATGGTTTTGGTTGGCACCGGAATTCGTACAAATCAATTTAATTTTGACGAACTTTATATTGGACATTTTTTAACATGGGTCGAAACCCTAATCTATCCAAATGCAATGAATGTAATGGGTGATTTTCTTAACAACAACTAGTTCTAATTCTAGATTTGACATAAAAACCCTAATTGGTCAAATGGATCGAATGAAATTGATAAACTTTGCTAGATTGCTCTAAAAATAGACACACTTGATCGAATAGATTGAATGAACTTGAAGATTTATTCGAAAATGACTTGATCACCCTAAAAAGGGTAAACTGGTTAAATGAATTGAATGAAATTGATGATTTATTCAAAAATCGACCAGATCACCCAAAAAGGGTAAATTGGTCAAATGAATTGAATGAAATTGATGGTTTATTCAAAAATGGGTTGAATTGCCCACCCATTGGTAATTTTCAAAAATTCATTGCGATGCATTAGTCTATGAGCCTCCTAAAATCAAAATTTGGCCTCAATACATTTATCGTCTCAAGAATGAGGAATCATTTGTGAATTTCTTTAAGTCAATGTCCTTTAAGCAAGGGATTTTTACCAACTATGTTAAAAATGGCCAAAAGATGATTGTTAGATGCTCATATTCCAATGCGTAAAGATTGCTTTGCCGTCTTCGAAGAGATCAGGTCCTACCTTACCTCGTGCACTACTCCTTCAGATAATACAAAAAATATAAACGTGCAAGTCTCCTTGGATTAAGTATCCGAGACATAAGGTGGTTTTATTCCTAACACGGGATCCCCTAAATGACATTCCCTTTCTAGGGTTTAATGCATGATGCCATTTATTAAAACGATGTAAATATGTGACAAATATGGCCTAAAGGGCATAAATAATGCATCGGGGGGAAAAGGTCTAAAATGAAATGTACTTATTGAAAATTAAGTGTAATGACTGAAATTTAAACATGTGAGTTATCTAGTGGGTAAGTCACTAAAAGAGTGCCAAAGAGGCCTTTTATTGCTAAGGCACATGAATGCAAGCCAAGAAAACAACGAAATGGTTAGTGCAATTGATAGTACACGTAACATATTGGAAGCAATTAAGAAAAAAAATACAATAAAAGCAAGTAAAAGGGGTGGAACCCCTTCCCTCGTGCCTAATGTGCTTAAAAAAAGGGTGAGACTGACTCTAACCTAGGAAAATTCTACAATGGATGCATGAGGCTGGGGCTTACTAATGCAACTAGATTCGATAAGGTTTAAAAATGTCCCCAAGCCTTCAGACCTAAGGGAATGGGTCATCAATCCCAAGACCCTCGGTCGGTGGCTCGAGCGATCCTCTAGGTACTGCTATGGGCGCAGAGCACACCATCCACATACCTAGAGAAATCATTCCTAGTCCTACAAGGCGGTGTGGGAAAGAGCCCACGAAAATAAAATAAAATGGGATAACAGTAAATAAACGTGCACGTATAAAGTGTTCCCTATTTTGAAGGAAATGGTTGAGAACCAACGCGAGACTCTAAAGGTGACACACTCCCCCCCCAAATACAATGCAAAGCGCGAGTAAAATATACATCCAAACAACCAATCATACATATGTGAGTGAGGGAGTATTTTGATACGCGCGCGAGGCAAAAGGTCCTAAAATGGAAAATGCAACCCTAATATCCAAATGCTATGCATAACAAGGGTAGAAAACGAAAAAGAATGGCTAAATCAAATGCTTGGACCCATTTAGAAAGTCCCCAGTGGAGTCGCCAAGTTGTCGCGCCCCACTTTTTGAGGTGTGGAAGTAGTGTGTGAGATATGTATGTGAACATGTGTGAAAGTGAAAATAGAAGGCCGTGGGATTGTGAAATGCAATGGTTTGGCCAAATAAAGTTCAAAAAGGGTTTTTTGGATGAAAAAATGGAGTCGCCACTTGGTATAGAATTAGGGTGTACCAAGTCACCCAAAAATGATTTTTTGTTTTTTGAAAGAAAAAAGTAAACAAACCCTTTTAAAGAACTTTTAGGTCTACGTAACCAAAAAAGGGATCGGGAGTCACATTTGATAAGGGAGAAGGCAAAGGCAAAACCTAAGGCACTCCCTTACCCTAGCCAAAGTTAGTTGCGTGACTTAGCCCCACTTTTCCTAATTCTTCTACTCAAAATATGCATTGCATGTTGGATGTGACTAATGGATATGAAAAGGAAAGAAAAATGTAATCCTAAATCTAAAATATCTCTTATGAGGTTTTTTGGTTCCAACCACATGAGTTGTGGTGCCCAATAAGGAAAGTCCTCATAGAGGTCGCGAATGATGCAAATGAAGACTCAAGTATGAGTGCAAGTGTGAAAATGTAAGAAAACGTGCATGTGTGCAAATGTAAGACAAGTGCATGTGTGCAAATTGAGAAAATAAAGGTGTTTGTGTGCAAATGGATGAAAATATAATAGTAGATACATATAAGTGCAATTGGGTGCAATTTGTGAGGTAGAAAAACAAGTGACAAAAAGAAAAATGTGTGAACATGGCATTTGTATTGAGAAAGATATAAGTAATGAGAAAATGTAGATAAAGAAAGTGAGGAAGTAATATGATAAAAATGATAGTGTATGAACCCATAGGAATGCATCAAGTCGGGTACGGGAATGACTCCTAACTTCACGACTTTAATTTTCCTTTGATTAGAAGGAAGAACTAGCGTGCTAAGACTATTTTGTAGCCACACTCGCTCGTTTCCCTTACCAAAAGGGGACTCTCAAGCAAATGTACCCTATAACTAGCATGAGGATGCAAAAACCTAAAATGAAGGGGAAAGGATTGGAGGAGCATGCCAAATGCTAGAAAACTAAGAAAAATGTATGAAATGTTGTGAAACATGCAAGCATGTACTAACGAGAAGGGACGGCCTATTGGGTCTAGCATTGGACTAGCCCTTTTCTAAAATTCTCTCACAAGCATTGGACTTGCGAGAGCTCAAAGAGAAAAACCCTGACCAGCGTTGGACTAGCCACGGTGACGCCACACATTCATTATAAACCAAATAAATCATGTGAAGGCTAATAAAGCAAATAAACACATAAATCACATATTGCACATAACACATAAGCATGGTATCTAGATTCAAGACCATAAGAAAGCAAGTAACACGTAGCACGTAGGCATGCAAATCACTAATGAACCTATTACATTGGCTAACTAAAACAAATGGGAAAGGGGAAAAGTGAATTAAAATGCTCTCCAAGCCCTATCTATTACAAGCCAAGAGGTGTACACATACCCCATAAAAGAATAACTTAATAAAGCTAAAGTAAATGAAATAAAGGAATTAAAGAAAGGCAAGGAAAGCAAAGTAGACATGCAATTCTCACTTAGCACGTTGGATTACATAGAGGAGAGACAAAAAAAAGGATAAAAGAAGTTATACCTCCCCATTCATGACGTTAGTAAAGTAAACAAGACTCAACTTGGGCTAGAGTCACCAAAGAAAGGGATAACTTGGGCTAAAACCATCAAAACAAGGGATTAATGCACCACTTTAAAGATAAGTAGAATGAAAGGCAAAAAGGAAACTCAGAATCTCTTAGGAACTTCAAAAGGGGTACTAACAAACCACCAAATCCTCCCTAATTGTGACTTAAATGTAATCAAATAATGCTTAAAGACCAAGAAAACGGAATGACCCATCCAATTCCCAAATATAGCATCTACTAGGGACCCAAAAGCAAACCTTAATCAATCATTCGAGTCTAATCGAAACATTTAAGAACTTCAGAGGTTCAAAAGCAAAGACGAGTCAAGTAATCACAAATAATCACATACATGTTGAAGCAATTAAATAACTTAAACAGCCATGTTCGCAAAGCTAGGGCCTAATTGAAAGGAAAAAGGAAGTTTGAGGGGTCAATTTGATCGATTTTTCCAATTATTTGGGCCACAGTGGAACAAAAGAAAACTTGAAGGGTTAGAATGCAAGTTATGAAAACTTTTCCATGCATGCAATGGAATTCTCTTCGTTTCTGCTGGTTCCTTACCAGGTTTCTCAAATGCAATCCTAACGTAGCTAGAATATCAGCCAAACAATCAAAACCGCAACACTAAACCAAATCCAACCACAACCCAACAGGTCCACAACTAAAAATGAAATCATGCAAGTTCTGGCAATACAAAGAAAATTCGGAACTTTCTTGTTCTCTGCTGCACTTTTCATTCAACAATTTTTGCAACTCCAAGAAACTTTCGGCCAGCCAAATTCATGCCAAGCCTTGATTTCCAACATGGCTACAACTTAACAATAATGAGATTCTTGGAAGACTTTCATGCAAGTTTTATGCAACAAAAGAAAACAAGAAAGTTTCTACAACTAGAGCTCACAGGTTTCTGCAACCGAAAAATCATCACGCCAACCCCATTTTTGTGCGCAAAACAACAATCTTAAACATGAATTTGATCAGAACTTTTTCAACCAAACATCCCAAAACTTAATCTAAGCAATAAGGCTCACGATTTCAGCATCCAAACAAACCAAGACATAGAAGGGAATTTGCACAAAAATGCTAGAAAACGGCTCGGTCAATCCTGGTTTGTCCATTTTTCAGCAATCATCTGGTCATAGTTCAAGTGTTTAAGACCCAAACATGCAAACTCCAGC